GTGGGGGACTCCCCCTTCGATTATATTGGCTCTAACGGTCAGAAAGAGGTGTCAACCATCAAAATCGAGCAAGGGGGGCCAGAGATATGGAAAATCCACCCAAATAACCCCAGAAGTGGTTTCTTTTTGCTAAATCTCTCTAAAAAGGTCAAATGTCACTTGTTTTGCATCAATCTTGATACAGGGTACTTATTATATGTTGTACTTTGGATTCCTAAAGCTTGAAAAGGCGCTTTATAAATTCCATTTATTATTATTATTATTATTATTATTATTATTATTATTATTATTATTATTATTATTATAAGTTTGTGCCCCGATGGAAGGCTGACAGGAAGGTAGGCCATCCAGTTATTTTAGCCGGGCCGGCTAAAATGATTGGTCGTACTTTTTACAGTATTACGGCTTCCACAGATGACATTTTTTTATGGATTTTTTGTCAAAGCACTTAAGATATTCATTACTATCGGGATGTTAAGAGCATTCCATGGAATATAACAAAAAGTGTAAACTGCTCTCATGTCAAGAAGCAACAGATCAGTGCATCAACATGTGTAAGTGTATTGTGGAAACAAAGGACACTATGACTTGGATATAGATCAACACCATCTTTATTTTTAAAAGTTTTGACAGGGATCTGGGCATTAAATAGGGAGTCAACTCCGCGAAGATGGAGCTCCCCACCCGGGTGCTCTCTGCTGTTGCGGAGCCTGCCTCAGTCGGGCAGCCCTTCCCCGTGACTGCCGGTATGCCGGTGCCACGGGGTGGGCCGTAGAGGTGCTGGGCGCCGCAGCTACGGGACCCCCGTGCCGGCGCCTCTCCCTCCGCTTCACTGTCGCACTACGCTCCCTCCCCTGCGAGGGGGGGCACGTAGCGGGGCCTGAGGAGGAGCCAGCGGTAGCATGCGGCTAAGCTGGACTCTCTCCTCCTCTAGGCGGCTGAAGCGCTGGGTGACCGAGGAGACCGACCCAAAGAGCCCCTCCGTGGACACGGGGGCTCCGAGGTGATCTTCTCGGTCCTTCTTAGATAGAGCCGTGAGCCCTAGCCACACGTGACGAGACACCACTGTGGCCAGGGAAATCATCCGCCCTGCTGCGGTGGCCACGCCATAAATCAGATTATTCATCTGACTAACAGCGTGGTCCGAATAATCGCTCTCGTCCTGAGACGGGAGGGCGGGGGCGTCTGCCTGAGGGGTGATCAGGGAGACGCCAACACGCCAAGATTATCGGCCGCAGCCGCCATCTGCGTACCGAGCTTGAACATCTTATCCAGATATTCCAGGTGTCTCGGTCCCGGGGCAGCGGGGGCAGAGGACGTTTACCCTCCGCCCAACCAGCCGCGGAAGCAGATGGGCCGCCAGGCTCTCATCGAGGGGGGGGCACACCTGGACATGTCGTGTCCGAGCGATCCACCACCTTAACGATACCCGCCATGGCGGCTATCGGGGCCTTCGTTTTTAATGGCTGCTGCCATGTCGCCTCCACACACCGCCATACCTCTGGCAGCTGGGGCGAAACGAAGGTCGGCTGCGCCGGACGCACCGGGCCGTAAATCTCAGGCGGTTTACAGGCCTCGGTGGCAGCGGTGGGGGGAGCGGTAAGCCTACACGCTCCGCCGCCAGAGTCATCACCGCCGGGAAATCGATCCGCGCAGACCTGAGAGTTGGACCTCCGGTCAGCGAGGCGTCCTCCTCGTCCTCCATCGGAACCAAGCCCGCCTGGTCCCATGGAAGGGAGAACCGGGACGACGTCACCTCGCTCCCCGAATCGCCCACGTCCACGACGTCGAGCTCCAGATCCTCCGACTCCTCCTGCGGGGTAGCCCTCGCCAGGAAGTGCTGCCCACGATGCTCTCGTGTGAGCCGCGGGATCATCTGGCAGTCTGGGCATGTCGGCATCGGGCCCATATTACCCACCGCGTGGTCAGGCCCCAAGGACGTGAAGCAGAAGGGTAATTAGATTCGGGCATTTCGGGCAGGTCCTACACTTTACTCTCTCTTTCTCAATCGTCTCGAAGCTCGTGGAATCACTTCCGCTTGCTGAAGAGAAAAAGGATGATAGTCAGGAGGCGAGGCCTCCTTTTATACGGTGTGATGCGCGCGCATTCAGGTAGGCCCGCCCTAGGCCGGCTACGTCTATAGAAGTCTCAGTGGGAGAATGCACGCAGGATAAGGTAGTACCCATAGAGTCCAGTAGAGGGCGGAGCCTGTGAGAGATATAACTGTCCCTGAGTCTGGTGGTTTTAGTCCTGATGCTGCGGTAGCGCCTGCCAGACGGCAGCAGACAGAACAGTTTGTGGCTGGGGTGATGGGGGTCTTTTATAATCCTGAGGGCTTTCTTCCTGAGCCGCTGGGAGTATAGGTCCTCCATGGATGGCAGCTCCGTCCTGGTGATGTTCTGTGCAGTTTACACCACCCTCTGTAAAGCCTTATGGTTGAGGGCGGTGCAGCTGCTGTACCAGGCTGTGATGCAGCCAGTCAGGATGCTCTCTATGGTGCACCTGTAGAAGTTGCAGAGTATCCTGGAGTCCATGTTGAACCTCCTCAGCCTGCGGAAGAAGAAGAGCCGCTGTTGAGCTTTTTTGGTGATGGTGGTAGTGTGAAGAGTCCATGTTACATTACATTACATTACATGTGACTTGTTAGACGCTTTTATCCAAAGCGACTTACATAGGAGCAATTTGGGGTGAAGTGTCTTGCCCAGGGACACAACGACATGCTGACTGCAGTGGGGTTTGAACCTGTGACCACCTGATCCGAACACAAACACACAATTCACTGCATCACACGCCTCCCCGCATGTCAGGTCCTCAGTGATGTGGACCCCGAGGAACCTGAAGCTGACTCTCTCCACCGTAGTCCCTTGGGGCGTGTCCCTCTCTCTGCTGCTTCCTGTAATCCACAATCAGCTCCTTGGTTTTGCTGATGTTGAGATGGAGGTTGTTATCCTGGCACCAAGATGTCAGGTTTTCGACCTCCTCTCTGTACGCCGTCTCGTCGCGTTGGTGATCTGGTCGATGACGGTCGTGTCGTCAGCAAACTTCACGATTTAATAATCGTGATATCAATATTGACCAAAAATAATCGTGATTATGATTTTTGCCATAATCGAGCAGCCCTAGTGTCGATATGGACGGGAGTATCCAGGGTGTGAGCCGTTAATCCCGGTTTTTATCATATTCATTCATGTTTACATGGAACATAAGTACATAGTTATTCATATCCCTGTACACTTTTTATTTTCCAAGTCACTGTCATTTGTTTTATCAACTCTTTTATCCTGATAGAGGTCATTTCAAATTTCAACAATGATATATATGTATATATATTAGGGCTGTCAGTCGATTAAAATATTTAATCGCGATTAATCGCATGATTGTCCATAGTTAATTGCGATTAATCGCAAATTAATCGCACATTTTGTATCTGTTCTAAATGTACCTTAGAGGGATATCTTTCAAGTTTTTAATACTCTTATCAACATGTGTGTGTGTGTGTGCGTGTGCGCGTGCGTGTGGAGACACTGTGATGGATCGTTGGAGCTATGTGCAGCTCAAGGCATATATGCTCGAATGGGAGCTGCCTGGACGCTGCAATCATGTTGCGCGTACTATCCGTGCTGAGTGTGCTGACTTTTCGTACAATGTCCCACTGTCAGGCTACCTGCATAAAGTCAAGTGCTCGGCGCAGTTGTCGGCGAAATGTCATTGAAACAGCTCCTTATATCCGTTAGCGCAGCTAGCTAGCACCAGATGCTAACAACAACAACAACACGTAAGGTGTGCCTCGCTCGCGCGAGTCGCGCCACACATACACACTCCCTCCCGGTCCTCCCGATGGCCAGTCCGGGCCTGCCAGTGAGCGTGGAAGTGTGGTCTGCCACAAGCGGGCGGCAGGAGCGGGGCTGTCAGCATCAGCTTGTCGATGGTATTTTAAACTCGATGCGCTCTGAAACTACGGCGGCCGAGGACAAAAAATACACATGCGTTAATCGCGTTAAAATAATTAGTGGCGTTCATTTTTTTTTGCGTTAACGCGTTATTAACGCGTTAACTTGACAGCCCTAATATATATATATATATATATATATATATATATATATATATATATATATATATATATATATATATATATATACTGTATAAATATATATTGTGTATATAGTATATTGCAATTTAGCATGTTTTCTATTAACTAAAAGAATCTGTACAATAGTTCATATGAACTTGTCGTAGCTGTAATATGGATCAAAAAGAGGGGATACATGCATTTTACAGGACAGGTGTCAGACATAAAGGCCCATAATAATTCCTACATACACACCTGGGTCTGAATCGACTGCATGCAATAACCTTAAAGATATTTGTATGATGTGTTATAATTATGGTGGTCAGACGTAGACGGTCAGATGTAGACGTAGAGAGTGGAAAGAAAAAACTTTCAGGGAAGTAAATCCCAATTATTTTAAAGGAAAGAAAAGTGCTTAGGCTGCATCTCGCCGCCTAGATGGGTCTGGCCACTGCCCCTCATCAACAGTTCTTACGTGGAGCCTTTATCGAGTGATACATCCTGATTGCTGAGTCAACAATAAAGCAGTTTGGTGTTTATGGTCATTAGGCATGTGTATTTGTTAATTGGTTCATGCGTGTAGCATTTTAATGGCAGTGTTTTGAAAATGGCAAGCAAATGAATATGTCAGATTTCTGTGTCTTATTTAGAGAACCGTGTGCAGTGTTTTGCAAAAAGTGCCTTGTTCAATTGCATATTGGGTGCAGAGCTGAAAATCTGTTTAGAGTTTTGGAGATTTGAGCTGAGGTTTTGCTCTTTGAGTGTGAGTTTAAATAATTGTGCTTTACGTGTCATTTTAGTGTGTTAGCAACTGAAAAAAATTGTAATACAAGATAGAGTTCCTGGTTAATATGGTAATCCACCATCATCATCTAAGTATAACTGCTTTCTCCTGTAAGAAACAGCAAACTGTCCTCTCTGTGTCTTCTAGACTAAAGCAGAGAAAGCTGATGATGTGAAAGCCAGGCTGATCTTGGAAAAACTGAAAGAAGATGAAGCCAAGGACAAGGCCATGAAGGAGTGTTTGGCTTGTGTCGAAAAAGAAAAGGATTGTGATTTCACTCAAAGCATGAAAGCAGTTCAGGTACAGTAAAGGCTGTGGGAAAGATCTGACAAACAACAAAAAAACAAGGAACTCAATTTTCACTTGATTTATTCACATAGGAGGAAATCCTGAACCTTGGTAACCGCAGACAGGCTTTGCTGGACAAACTGAAGAGATGTCAAACTGAGCTGGAGGCCAAGAGGGCAGAATCCACAAAACTGAAACACAAATTTAAGGTGGGAATGAAGAAAGTCTACAGACCTGACTACACCCACCTGACACTGCATCAATTTCAGCGTATTGATTAGTAACAATACAATACATCTTAATAATATAACAATCGGTTGACATTTCCATAAATGAAAGTCAAACAATGATAATACATTCAAATGGTTTTAGTTCTGCAACTCTGTTTATCGTGTTTCTCCTTCTGTCCAGATTTACGCCCAGATTCCAGACATAGAGGTGAACTACCGGACTCAGTATGAAGAGCAGATGGGGGACGGCAGTCAGCCAATCAGTGGACGGTACCTCATTAGCCAGAGAGCCTCTGTGCATCTGCAGGGAGGACAGGCCCTCATCACCTTTGAGGAAGAGAAAGGTGCATGTGGCTGAGCTCTTTCACTTTTTATTTAGTAAATAAAATCAACATTGAAGAGTTCATCTGAATTATATGTGTAGACAACACTGTACTCAACCACATGAAAATTACAGCTGCATTCATGAATCCACTAACTGATAAATGCTTTTTCTCTGCCTCTCAAATATAGTTAGGTTTAGTGAATATCATTTTCTCTGTTTAAAACCATATTCAAGTGTTAACTTTTGACATTTAAAGACCTCATTAAACTTAAAGAAATTGGGATGGACATTTTAGACAAAATCAATGATCGAGAAAAGAATCTTCAAATGAATTGTTTATAACAAAAAGTGTTAGTTGCAGCCCTAACGCAAAGAGGAACAAGTAGCTGAAGTTAAATAAAGTTTTAGAATATCCGTAAATATTACTTTATGAAAGAAGGCTATTAAAACAACACAGTTGTAATATTTCATTGAAATCTAAATTATGAAAACTAGTTCTAAAAAGGTAAAAAAAAACATAAAATGATGAGAATCAATAATTTATTTTAAGCCTCCTACAGTAGCCTAGGTTGAGCTTTATACAGAAGTACAAACAAAGCCATGAACACACAATGTGCTGGCCCTCTGTGTGAGCAGGACATTTCACAGAGCTCTATCTGCACACTGCAGTGTTATGAATGCCTTTCATCTCAAAACGTTTAGCATCGGTTTCTTAAAGTTTACAAAACTATGAGATTACTTTTCCTTAACCTTAAACACCACATGACATTACCTTTATACTGGAAAGCAAGAAGCTAAGCAAATCACTTGTAACTCACATGGGCAGTGTACCAACGCTCTTTCAGGATCAATGACAATCAAAAACACCTCCCTTTTTATTCATTGGATATTATAGTCATTATAAGATATAAGTCAGTAAATGTAGATATACAGCAAGTAGGGGACGCTCCTGTTTTGGTCATGGGGTTTCAAAAGATTGTGGGACTGTATCAGTGCTTACTGTCTGCGTCTCATGTCTGCAGTGGCCTCTCAGATCCTGAAGATACCCAAGTGCTCCGTGTCCTGTGAGCACAGCAGTGTGGATGTCAAACCAAGAAGAATAGCTATGAATCCTGCTGTGAAGTTTGAGGTATGTGTGTGTGTGTGTGTGTGTGTGTGTGTGTGTGTGTGTGTGTGTGTGTGTGTGTGTGTGTGTGTGTGTGTGTGTGTGTGTGTGTGTGTGTGTGTGTGTGTGTGTGTGTGTGTGTGTGTGTGTGTGTGTGTGTGTGTGTGTGTGTGTGTGTGTGTGTGTGTGTGGATAATATCCTGCCATAAGTTCACAAACTAAACTAATAAACAGAGGTGGGAAGTAGTGGAGTACAAATACTTCGTTGCTGTAGTTATTTTAGCTGGCCCGGCTAAAATAACTGGATGGCCTACCTGCCTGTCAGCCTTCCATCTCGTGCACAAACTTATCTCGTGCCCTCATTGGTCATGTGCGCGTTCTATGTGTGTTGGAGGAGGGCCTCTGTAAGGAAGTCTGAAGGAAGGGGCAGATTTTCTTCTGGCTGCGTACTTTCAAATTCTAGCGCACTCGAGCTGGTTTCTCCATTCTTGCTTTTAACTACATTTTTCTGGTAAAAGTACTTATTTTTCTGACGACTTTTTACATTTACTAATTACATTTTTAACACAAATACCTGTACTCTCTACTCTACGTTTGGTGGCATGATCATTATTATTTAGAGTCATTACGTGCCTATTGATTTTAACACGATCCGTGTATCCATCATTTCCTGGTCTTCTCTAAAGAAGAGGGACCAATGAGAACTCAGCTCCAGTCTATTCCCATCATCCGTTGAACCAGAAGCAACTGCAGCGCCTTTTCATCCCAAACCGCGCCAGTAACGGAGCGAGGCAGAACCAGGCCGTGGAAGGCAGCTAGAGGAATAAAGGCGGACGTTAGGGAGGATGAGGAAGAGACAGGTGATGAAGTTAGCGACAATACTGAGAGCAGCGGAGATATTAATCTCCCTCACCCATGGCCATATATGAGGGAGATGTTTGAAATTATAGCCGTCAAAACCTATTCCTGGCGAATGCGCTGAGAATTGTGTCGACCCAAAACTCACAAAGTGTTCGCTTTCAAGAATTTGCAGTTGAATTTAAAAAAGCACAATAAAATGCACTTGTACAGTACCAGCCAAACGTTTTCACACACCTAATTCAAAGGTTTTTTATTTATTTAAATGATGTTCTACATTGTTAATTAATGCTGAAGACATCAAAACTATGAAAGAACACATGGAATTATTTAGTAAACAAAAAAGTGTTGAACAAACCAGAATATGATTTTTATTTTAGATTCTTCTTTGTAGCCCCCTTTTGCCTTGATGACTGCTTTGCACACTCTTGGCATCTCTGTCAGCTTCATGAGGTCTGGAATGGTTTTCAATTAACACGTGTGCCTTGTCAAGAGTCAATTTGTGGAATGACTTGCCTTCTTAATGTGTTTGAGACCATCAGTTGTGTTGTGCAGAGGTAGGGTTAGTGCACAGTGGAAAGCCTTATTCGACTAATGTTGTAATCCATATTATGGCAAGACCCACTCAACTCAGTAAAGAGAAACGACCGTCCATCATTACTGGGAAAGGAGGAGCAAGAGTTACCTCTTCTGCAGAGGATAAATACATAAGAGTTACAGCCTCAGAAACTGCAAATGAAAGCACCTCAGATTAGAGCCCACATAAATGATCACAGAGCTCAAGTAGCAGACAATCTCAACATCTACTGTTCAGAGGAGACTGCGTGAATCAGGGCTTCATGGTCCAATTGCTCTAAAGATCCACTACTGAGGATGAACAACAAGAAGAAGAGAATAGTTTGGGCCCAGAAACACAAGGAATGGATATTAGACAGTGGAAATCTGTACTTTGGTCTGATGAGTCCACATTTGAAATGTTTGGTTCCAACTGCCGTGTCTTTGCAGAGAAGGTGAGCGGATGGTTTCTGCATGTGTGGTTCCACCGTGAAGCATGGAGGAGGAGGTGTGATGGTGTGGGGGTGCTTTCCTGGTGACACTGTTGGTCATTTATTCAGAATTCAAGGCACACTTAACACAGCCTTCTGCAGCACCATGCCATCCCATCAGTGGCCCAAGGCCGGATTAACCATATGGGCAACCTGGGCAAGTGCAAAGAGGGCCCTCAGTGACAAGATTTCGGGCACAACCTCAATCATCATACATTGTTTTAAATGACACTCACTCTTCGCCATAAATAACACAGCTTTTCTATAGGGTCAAATTAATATATTTTCTAAACCGTCTCTGTACTGTAGGTCTCACTATGTATGCGCTCAACCTTATTACTGCGCGGCGGCGGTGTATAGCCGAATCACAGCCCCACCCTCACTCATGTCACATTTTGTCACGTGAGCTGACAAAATGGATGGTGCCGGTAGCCAAACGCCCAGCGGGACTGCGAAAAGAAAGAAAAAGAAAGAAAAAGAAGAGAGAGTGGCGGCTGCATTAACCTCTTGAGGACAACGGTCCCCCCAGTGGACCCCCCCACCGGTTTTTTTCGAGACTGTGTCTCAGGGCTTCTTAACATTTATGAAACTATTAATGTGTAGCACCAGATTAACGGGAAGAATCTCAGCTAACTGAAGATATGAACCGTTTTTACCAAAACAAAACACAAGTCAAATCAAATCAAATCAAGTTTTATTTATAAAGCACATTTAAAAGCGATTTTCGGTCGAGCCAAAGTGCTGTACATGTAATAAAAACACATTACTACAATCACAATAAAAGACAATAAATTACAACAGATATATAAAAAACAGGGAAAAGTCAGGAGTCGTGCTCCGCTCTGACTAGAAGGCCAGGGAGAAGAAGTGTGTCTTAAGAGTAGATTTAAAAACCCCTAGGGTCTGGGCCGACCTCACATGGAGGGGCAGAGTGTTCCAGAGCCTGGGGCCAGCTGCTGCGAAGGCTCGGTGCCCTCGGGTTTTGAGCCTGGTCTTGGGCACTATCAGCAGCAGCTGGTCAGCAGACCTTAAAGCTCTGGCTGGGGTGTAGCGCTGGAGGAGTTCAGCTATATAGGCCGGAGCCAGCCCATTTAGTGCTTTAAAAACAAATAAAAGGATTTTAAAATCAATTCTGAACCGAACTGGAAGCCAGTGTAATGAGGCCAGAATTGGGGTGATGTGGTCACGCTTTTTGTGGCCAGTCAGCAAACGTGCAGCTGCGTTTTGGACTAGCTGCAGGCGTTTAATTGAGGCCTGGTCCATACCCACATACAGAGCGTTGCAGTAATCCAGTCTCGAGGTTACAAAGGCGTTAATAACCCTTTCTAGGTCTTTAAAAGATAAATACGACTTGGTTTTGGCCAGTAGTCTTATTTTAAAAAAGCAGGATTTGACTACGGTGCTGACCTGCTTGTCGAATTTAAAAGCGCTAGTGAAGGTCACTCCAAGGTTCATGACAGAGGGGAGGATGTTTTTATTGAGGGAGCCCAGAATATCAACCGGAGAGGCTGGAGGTTGGGGTCCAAAAAAGATGACCTCAGTCTTGCTCTCGTTGAGGTTGAGAAAGTTTTGGCTCAGCCAGGATTTGATCTCTGTTAAGCAGTCCATCAACTGCTGTAGTGAGTGTTTGACATTTGCTTTGAGAGGCAGAGAGATCTGTACATCGTCAGCGTAGCAGTGGAAGGGAATATTGTGTTTTGTGAGAATTGACCCTCATTTAATTTCATTTCAAGCCTTTATTTATCCAGGTGTATCCCATTGAGATCATTGATCTCTTTTTCAAGGGAGACCTGCTCAAGTAGGTTCCACATGAAACATAAAAACATAAACAGAACAACAAAAAGGACATCATACAGCATCATTACAGGGGTTACAATTTACATAACTATCCACATGAACAGGTACCAACAGCTTCCGATTGAGTAGCATCCAACCGAGCTATAAAAACATTTAGTGGCACCAGATTTCTCAGTTTCCATTTCAATTGCAGACTATTCCAAGACAGTGGAGCTGCGCATCTAAATGCTATCTTCCCTAAGACAGTCCTAGCAGTTGGCACATTTAATAAAACCACAGCATGCGATCTCAGGCAGTAGCCACTTACAATTCGCCGTGAGATCAGGGAGCAGATGTAGGATGGAAGTTTCCCTAACATGGCTTTGTATATAAAAATGTACCAGTGACTGAGCCTCCGTACAGTTAGCGAAGGCAAACCAGCCCTTGCATACAGGGTACAGTGATGGGTTAATGCTTTACAGTTGGTCACAAATCTATAAACTGAGGAGTGACTCCCGTGAGTTTCATGTGTTTTCTTCACTCCGCTGGGAAACTGCTCTCATGTCAAGAAGCAACAGATCAGTGCATGCGCTGCATCGTCCAATCAGTGAGCGATACACAGTAAGGGGGCGGGGCGAGTGGCTGAGGATTTCACCGGAGGATGGTCTGGTGGTTCCTCCATTATCGCTCCTCCATTATCGCTCCTCCATTATCGCTCCTCCGTTGTCGCTCCTCGATCTTCGGTCCTCCGGCACAAATAAGGCCACTGGGACGCTACTCAAGATGGCGCAGACAAATCAACTTCCGGTGATACCGAGACCGAGGAGCGAGGAAATGAAAAATAACCAAAGTGAGACGCAGCCATGAACTAACGCAGGGACGTGCACAGACATTTTGGGGGGCAGGAGCTCAAGTGAGAAAAAGGGCACTTCCCATAATCATTTATAAAAAAGAAATGTAAAACAAAAAGTTAAATATAGTTCCACTTCTCTGACTTACTGACCAATTTATTTTTATACCCTCACACTCACGCAATTGTTTAATACTCAACAGAATTTGAGAAAAAAATCAGTTGACATCAGTATTCACTACGCACAAGAGCAGACAACAACAAAGGAAACTATGCCACAATATGCATGTTTTCTATGCTACTAGTTAAAATTGCTATAATAATTAGTTTATTTTAGCACAACAATAAGTCCTTTGAATTATTTTTGTGGTATTAAAATAAATAACACTTCAAAATCATAACAAATCTTCACACAAAACTGAAAAATGCTCTTCTCTACATAAATACGCAAACCAACCTACACTCCAAACTACAAGTAGGCCTAAGTTTAGTTG